TGTCCTTTCTCTTCCCATCAATTAGTATTAATTTTGTGGCTGCACCTGAAGCCCCCTAGTCATGCTTAGGATCTCCTCATGCTAAGGGATGATCATCACAGACTAGCAAAATGGTCTCTCCCTCAAAGATTTACAGTTTGATTGGGCCATGAGTCCAACCCTGCACTGACAAATGCATTTTTAATGCATCTTACAACTTCATTGAATGTCAATAGTGGGACAATGGGTATCTCAGTTTAAATACAGAACAAACTTGGTCCAGTGTCCACTGCAGCTAAAAGATGCATCAAAACTTAGTGCCAAGTGCAGATAAATTAGTTTTTACCTCACAGATTGCTGCCTTTGACTTAGATACTTTCAAGTTCTGAAGTTGATTTTTTTTTCTGATTCAAGCAAATCTTGGTGTTTGTATAGTGGCATCATTAAGGAAAGCTGCATTTTCAAATATCTCTTCTTTTCAAACAAAAACATAAGCTTTCTTTCCTGGCATGCTTCCTGAAACCTTTGTCTGGAATTAGATCTGGATTTCATAAAGAATCAGAAGTAGTGTATAGCTTGATAAACACATGTTTTTAAAAACATCTTTCGCTCCTGACTCCTAAATCCTTTATTTGTTGATGATAAAAACACACTCATTTTGCCAGTAGTGTATTGCTGGTGTTCAAGGCTTTGTAAATCAGATCTTTACTTTTTTTCTTCAATTTCTGCTCACATCCAGAGATGTTAAAATGGGCTATTGTAATATTAATTGCATCAAGAGATGCTGCATTTTTGTCTCCCATCTCTGATGTTTAAATTGCAGTGGATAGGGGGAAGTTTCCAGCTGTTCTTGCAGGCAACTAGCTTGCTTTCTTTATTGATAAAGAAAATGATTCCTCTAAAGGAGAGCAAAAAAAGTCTTGGGACTTTGGCTGTGAATAATACCACTGCACCAGTGGTAGATTCAGGTTTTTGACTTGTGGACCATGTTTAAATGAATTTAAGCCAAATCTAAATTGACAAAGGAAATTTGTCCTCTGGAAGCTCAGCCCTTTAGAAAATGTCTTGTTTATTTTGGGCTAATAAGAGCTGCTGCAAAAATGACTCTGAAGATTTAAAAAAATATATCAGAAGAAGGAGGTATTTTTAGATTTAGATTTTAAACACAAGAAGAAATGGAAATCTCTAGCTAGGAAAATTAAACAAATACTGCCAGCCACAAACCATTATTTTTTCATTCCTTCATTTTTACTTGTCACCTGAACAATGGGTACACAACTAAGTATATTTTATGAAAGACTAAATGTTTTAAGCTCCACCGTGAAGCAATGAAAGGCATAGAACTAAGGGTGCAGACAGAAGTGGCAATTTTCACCCTATCTGGCCACAGAAAGTAGTTTATAGCTGTGACCAAACATGCGCATGGCTGCAGACAGCTTCAAAAATAGTTGATGGGGTGAAAATCTGACCATGAAGATGTTTTGAAACAAAGTATCCTTCTGTGCTGCCTGTTGGCCTTGAGCTGTTTTCAGACTGGGAGGGAGCAAAGGGAGAGGAGGGAGTTCTGTCTGGGGGGGTTTGGTGTCCCCCCTGAAGTGCATCCACCCCACTCTCCAGAGCCGGCTGAGGAACCCCCCAAAATGAACTCCCTCTGCTCCCTTTCCGCCCTCCCATTCTGAGACAGGGATAGGCTGGGAGAGAAGAGGGGCCGTAGCTAGGGGAAACCAGAACATGCCTGCAGTGACTCTGGCTAGAAGCCAAGGGGTGCTAGAGCGAGCCCTCTCTTCACTTCAATAGTGCTGAGCTGAGGTGGGCATGGCCAGGCCCCAGCAGGATGCTCTGATTAGGGAAGGGTTCCTCCCCCACTCATGACCAGCCTAGCAGGCAGTTGCTAACACAAAGTTTATTACCCCTAACTCAGTGTTTATCAGCTCATTAAGAAAATAATAGTCTCTCTCCATTAGTTCAAGCTCTTAAACAGCTTTTACAAGGAAGGACATTACCAGCTATCTGCTGATTCTGCCTTTGTCCTATCTGCCACAGCATGAAGATAGCCAGCATGTGGTCTGCTAGCTAATGCGGAGAGGTGTCTGTGCAGAGGGGACTGAGGAATCCCTGATTAGCACGGAGTGGTGAGGAGAGTGGGGGAGCAGGGGGAAGCCAAGCAGATGCCTGCAGTCTCTGCCAGAGCTGCAGCCAGGGAGCAGAGGGGAGGGGCCAGCCCTGCTGTGGAGCAGAGAGCCCCGCACAGCTCAGAGAACAAGCCAGGATGCTAGGGAACTCTGGTTTAACTTAAACCAGCAAGGGGTCTGGGATAGACATTGCATAAACTGGTTTGACCCAAATCAGTTAAGTCTAATACTACATTCAGCCAGGTTTATCTCAAACCAGTTTCAGCCATTTTCAAACCAGTTTATGTGCAAAGAACATCTATTCTGTTACAAGTTTAAACCAGTTTCTGATCACTTAAACCAGTTTATGTGTAACTTCTGTCCCTAACCTAACTGTTTTAAGATTTCCTGTAATCCAGGATGAGGACAAATAAGAAATACCTCAGTCTTGTACCTTAAACTTGATCCTATTTTCATAGAGTTCAAGAAGAAATTGTCCAATGGCTTCTACAAGGGCAAAACCAAGTCAACAGTGAGCTAGGCACACCCACCTCCAAGCCAACAGACCAGATTTCCTCCCCACACACATAGTTACAAACATTAGAAGATTACCGATAGGAATTTTTTTTCAAATAAGCTAAAGGTCAGAGGGCCATCAGAGCCACTTCCCATTCTGTTGCATGTTGAGGGAGTTGAGATTTGTATATATTAAAATATGTAAATATAATTACTTATTTTTATAATTATATTTAGAGCCTCCAAATCACCCATACAATTTTCAGGTCTACCTGGTCCTAAATCTACTAAATCCTATGTTCACTGAGTTGCCCTTTATTTTGTATCCCCGTGCAATATTTCCATCACAGTGAGGCAGTGTTGTAAAGATACTTTAGGAAAACAAAGCCTTCCATTAATTTAGCAAAACATTAAGCAAAACTTGGTGATGAGAAAAGCCCAAAGTTTTGAAGTCAGGATAAACCCCCTAAACATGAATCATTGTCCAAAGCTAAAGAAGATAAGAAGCTTCCAACAGAGAAACACATGTTGACTTCTCCCACTTGAAACTGCATCTCTTCTGAGTGTCCTGATTCCCATTTTTGGAAGGTAAGCCAAAAGCCTGGCTGCCCCATCCAGTGACAGTTATTTGGCCTGCTCACTTCTTAATGAGCAAATGTGTCTCTTTTTTTCTACTCCTGTCCCAAGCTCCTTCCCTTTCATCTTCTCCCTGGGATGTCTCTTCATCAACTCTATTGAGGAGTTCATGGTGCTCCCCACCTAACGTTCTTACTTTGTTCTTCCCCAAAGTGGTTCATCCTTCTACCTCTCCACCTGGTGCATTTGAAAAGAGCTAACTTGAAGCTGCTGCTGGTAACTACCTCTCTATAAAAAACCCAAAAGCAGAACTCTGCCCAAGTACATATCACCTGGAAGCAATACAACCCAGGCCTCAACACTATCCTGACTTTGCATAGAGCATACAGATTCAATCATAGATATTGCATCATGAGATTCCCAAGTATTCTTCTATCAGCTACTGAGCCCACAATAAATCTCTTCACAGTTCTGTCATGGAAATAGCAATGGTGGCAGACAGCCATCTCCCATTCAGCTTCCCAGGCCTATTAGTAGTATGTTCTTGTGCCTCTCTTGGTCATAACTCTTTTCATTTTGGTACTATACGGTATGTATATACCACCTCCTTAGTAAGATCAGGCATGCTGTTGAAAAATAAATCGAAGCCTGAGGCTGGTGCTGGGAACACACTAAGGGCCACATCAAACAATCTACTCCACAAATCTGTGAGCCAGGTGCACACAAAGTGGTATGAGTAGGCAGTATTTATTTCCTAGAGGTATGCCCAGACTTGCTAAGGGGGCAGGGTAGAGATATGTGGAGGCCTGAGGAAGAGCAGCCCTCAGTAGATTGCTTGTCAGGCACTCACCTGTACGCATGGCCTGTCCAGCTCCAAACAACTCTCAGTTATGAGTTATTTACAGAAGGGGCACCTCTGCCCTACTCAACAGTACTGAGGAAATAATTCCCTTATCTGGTCATATCAGCAATAAGCAAAGCTGAGAGCTTTTGCCACCCCCACATCATCAGTGTAACCATCACACTTATTCTTTTTCTCTCTCTCATCTTTTGTATAGCGTAGACTTGACAGTTTATACTCCAACATGACTGCTTACAGCCTCACTTATTCTGTTCAGTTTTGGAATGGTCTAGTTCTAAAATAGAGTAAATTGCAGATATCTGCAATCTAGGAGTTGTCTTCCTTCTTAGGTGCTACTGGGAAGCATCCTTAAGTTAGAAAACTTGCACAGGACACATTCTTTGGAAGTGAGCAAACATTTTACTCACGGTCTGTTTATCCCTTTTTGTTTGCGAAACAGTCCTCCTTCTTTCACCTTAATAAATATAAGAATTAATGAAAGCTGCTTTTTGGGCACCCTGACTATTCCTTTTATATAACTGTTGAAAGAAAAAGTGAACAGGATTGACAATTTCATTTATCTTTGTGATAGAAATGCAAAGTAAAGAATTTGTAGCAAGTTATGTGCACATCATAATAAAAGGGCAGCAAGAAGCCCTTTTCCAGCCAGTGCAATTTATTTACCTCTTTTCAAAATCAGCTCCTTATTGTGTGCCTACAAATCTGTAGGCTCTGAATATGCATTCAGAGAGAAAGGAAACAGGATAACTTTGAAAGGGTATTACATAGGAAATTGCAAAAAGTACTTTATAATTACTTAGAAGTTTTGTGAAATTAGACAGTGTATTTTTATGCATTTCAATTGGGAATAAAAATGCACTCATCTGATGGCCATAGAAAACAAAAACAAGCATATGATTATAGCACAATATATGAGTTCACGGTGTGCTTGTAACACTATTACTTTAACATTCCAGTGCATTTCAATCATCCTCCAGCTAATGGTGGCAGCTTTATTGATCTACAAAGGGTCAAAGAATATAGAAAATGATGATCCTGAGCACAGACTTAGTGACAGGTGAGCAACAGTCAAGGGCTTCTAAGAGTGTCCTTGATCCACATACACAATGCTGGGAGTTCCTCATGTACTTCATAGAAAAGGTTGGGAATGAGATGAAGGGATTCTTATAGTTGACCCTGCATCTTGGAGGGTCAGAGTTCAACGGCCTGCTCCATCACAGAGCAGGGCATCTTATGTAACACTGGACAAGTCTCTTGTTCTTTCTGTACCTCAGTTCCCCATCTGTACAATTGGGATTATTCTGTAATGTGCTTTATTCTGCATATTCTGTGCATCTGCTTTAAAAATATTGATTGCTCTATTTAGAAACAATGAGCAAAAGTCTTCAACTCTGTGAGTGTCTCCAGCCCACTCTTCCCAGACATCAGGAAAGCCAGTCAGGTATGCTACACATGGTAACCTTGCTACCTTGACACAACCATGTGTCTCCAGGGTTCCTTATTACCACCTGTGCTTGCTTCCCAATTTGCCTCCATCAGTAACAACATTTCTATGGAATTAAATGAGGATAAGACTGGGCTCCAAGCACCTGTTTCTATGAAGTTAAGTAGCTGAGAAACATCATGCTGTCATTTGCAGGACAGGGGCCTTAATCATTTACCTAATCATCATAAAGAAATTTTTTTTTAAAATCAGTGTTATAAGAATTGTTGCCAGAGTTTCAGAGAGTGTTAAAAAAGAGTAAAAAGCAAGACCAAATCAGTTTTAAAAGAACATTCTAGCACAGGGGTGCTCAACCTCCATCGCACAGACCAAATCCGGCCCACGGGGCTCACCTACAGGTCAGGAAGTTGGCAGCAGGGAGCAGTGGAAGCTCCATGCATCCAGATCCAACCTCACCTATGTCATTGCCCACGCAATGGGATCAGGGCCAGGCCACCCACCCATGCATCCACACTAGGACCAGGACTGAGCTACTTCCTTCCCCACCAATTCCCTCACAACATTTGGATCAGAGCTTCTCCAGCTGCCCCCCATGCATTAGGACTGGAGCTGCCCTGCTCCAACCCACCCCAAGCATCCAGACTGGGACCAGGACCAGGACCAGGCTGCTTTCCCCTCCTTCCCCCGCATGTCCAGATTGGGGCTGCTCCACCCCACCCCTGAACTGGGTGGATGGATCATGGTCAGGCTGCACAACCCCTGCAGCTGGATCTGGCACCATCCATCTGGCCCCTGGGGCAAAAAGGTTGGGCACCACTCTTCTAGCATTCCTTTCAGTTGTCCAGGAATTCCAGATAACATTTGTTGTTCTTCATGCTGCTCATAAAACAGAACTTCTTCCTCTCTATAAAGGTTTAAATAGCCAACCTGACTTAAGTTGCTTCTAATTTACAGCAATTATTTTAATAGTCTATGAAGAGTAGTAGATTTGCATGACATTTTATCATGTAAACTAAGACACAGAGCCTGTACCAAAGGATTTACAATCATACATAAAGATCAGACATGAACAGCAGTTCAAAGGAAAAGGTACAAGGTAACAAGGGTTTTTGAAAGAGATAGATCTGAGGGGTGCATTTCGAGGAGAGGTGGAGAGAGCCGATGCAATGACTATATGAAGCCAGCGAAGGCGAGGAAATGAAAAGACCATTATAAGGAGAGAAGATGGAAAAGGACACTGTAATGAAATGATCTAGGAGGAGATGAGAATATATATGTTCGTTTTATATGTACAAGTATTACATTTAGCTCAACCTAACCAATTAGGTTGATCTAAATGCCCAGTAGTGTAGGTATTCACAGTACTTAAATTGCCTGAAAAAATGGTGACCCTGATCTAAAGTTAGTTTACCTTAGAGGTAAATTTAGATCAACCTGGGTTAACCTGATCTAAAATGGGTTAACCTGGTCTAGTGTTCACAGTACAACCCTGTGCTGTTCCTATGTCCCCATCCCTGACCGGGCTATTTTTAGCACCCGCTTCCAACTCCCCTCCCCCAGGACTGAGTAACCTACCCACTACCCCTGCAGACCTGCCAGCCCCTCTCCACCCCCAGTTACTTACCTTGGTCTCCTGGTACCACTCCCAGCAGTGGTGAATTGCCTTCATGTGCCTCTTCTAGTTTAGATTTAGGTGGCTTAAAATAAACTGCCTAAACCTAAACCAGGTCCTGTGAATGCTTGTTCACACCCTAGATCAGTGCTTCTCAAAGTGGTGGTCTGCGGACCGGCACTGGGCCAACGAGCCACCGGTCGCCAGTCCGCAGCGAGTTGCCAGGAAAGAAGGAAATATATTCACCGGTCCACAGCAAGTTGCCAGGAAAGAAAGAAATATATTTTCAGAAGCATAACATTGATATGTCAGCACCACAGTTCGTACGTTCCAACACTCCAGGTGACGTCACATCGTGCGAGGTGAGGAAAGAGAAAGAAACAGCCGGTCGCACATTTGTGTAGTGCTGTTACATGCAGTTGCTGCCACCGGCTGAACCGGGCACCAGTCCCTGGCCCACTGGAAAAAAAATTGCCAGTCCGCCACATCAGATAGTTTGAGAAGCACTGCCCTAGATAGCATAAGATTGTTCTAGCAGTAATGTATTACGTATTATGGAGAAGGGAAGAAGGAAGAATCCATAGAGGAAAATGTTACAACAGTCAAGGCAAGAAATGGTCCTGGCATGCACCAAGTTGGGTGTGGGCTTAAAGAAGAAGCAGCAGTCAGATGGATTAAAAATGTGTAGTTACCAGTGGGGCCATAGATTGAAGAGTGGAGAAGGTATAAGAGGAAAAAGGAGTGCCATGTAGTTCACTGTCAGGGCAGACACTTTTTCCACTGTCTCCCAACCAGAACAAGTCCAATGACGAAATAACAATAATTCATGACTACAAATAATGCTGCCTCTGGTTTACTTTCACCGGTATTTTATTGTATTTACAAAAGCCTGACAAATCTAACCAACCATTAAAATCTGTAATCACACTGACAAGAAATGTACAGGCTTTGAGTGAGTATACACATGTAAGTGCAGATGAAGAAAAATAAGTTGAACTTCTGATTCTCAATGAAAAGAGAGAATAATGTGCTTAGACAGTTTTAGTAATTTTTCATGTATTAACTGCTACTGTAGTATTCTTTTCATTTATGTTTATAGTAATGGCAAAGTACAGATGTACAGAATGCAGGCATAAGACTATTTAGAAGACAGCTATAGGACAGATGGTCTCCTGGATGTGTAAGAAGGCCTTTCTATAATTAACAGTGGAGTCATTATATTGAAAAAAATCACTTGTGTAATAGTCTTTTGCATATGTTTAGTAATATCCTAAAATCTATCAGTTACATTGTAGTATTCATAAAACCACAGAGATCTTACATGTTTTAAGAGTGGAGTAAAAGTCATTAGTTCCAATTTTAATTTAACAAATCTAATTTTATAAATAAGAGTGATTTTTTTTTCTCAGGCTATCATTTTTAATTATGCATTTACATAAATTTGTTAGATGGCTGATGAAATATTAATACTAAAGGCAATTTTCTGTCTGTGAGGAACACTGAAGAAAAACTTTGTTCACAGTATATCTCCAAATCATATCCAATTAAAGCTAAACCATTTGTTCAATGTTTCTATAAGCAGCTCAGTGTCAAAAGCACACCTCTTTTTTTTAACTCACTGAAACCACCAGTTCAAGCTCAATCAGGTGAACATTTTAGTCTCAGCTTGACCTCTGCCTTTAGACAAGAAGTCTGGTAAATCATCAGCTATTGCTTAAGAAAAGGTCAAGAATAAGCTGCCAAAAAAGCCTGTATTCCTTGTTGTTGGATATAGAGGCTGATCCAAGTACAGCCCAAACCAAACAGAGCTTGGAGGAAAGATGAAGGAGAATTTTTTTTAAAGCTAAAATATTTCCTGAAATGATTTTACAGTGCACAACTACATTCAGAAAGGTAAAGGGTAAGTTCATAATGCTTACATCGCAAAACCTGGCCAAAGTGAACCACAGGTTTTGTGGGTGGTTAATGTTAGCTTTGTTAATGTGCACCATCACACAAACACTGCCTCCTTTTAGGACTGCTGTTTTCTACCTGTTGATGCTACCAGGATCAGTGGGGCCAGAATCTACCAGGATGTGAATGCCTGGTGTGCTCACGCTCCATGGGACACTGTTCTTCCCGTGAGTCCCTAGGGCTATGTCTACCACTTCTCCTGCCCCCATTCCCAATTCAGTTGCCAGACTTGGGCACATATGAAGCAGGAGTGGGCAGGGCTTGTTTCTCAATAGCAATCCTAACCTCAGAAGGAAAGCAGGACAAACATAGCCAGAGTGAGATAAGGCTATACTGACTGCAGACATCTGCTGAAGCTGTCTGACTTGAAATTTTCCAGACACTTTTTTGGCTAAAATGGGGGGCTGAGGGGTGAAACCATTTTTTTCATCCTTTTTGTGCAGTTTTTTTTCCCCCACAAATTTTAATCAAAATTATCTTATTTATTAAAGAAGCCTTTTGTGAATCTGCCATCTGCCAAACACTGGATGGTGATAGATAAAAAATGTCAATGGTGTTTTCAATTTGCGGAAAAAATAGGTGAGTTCAAGTCCTGCAAATTGAGAACAGGATTGAAATGTCAGTTCTCTTTTTGAGGTTTATTAGCAAGCTGTTTGACATCTCCCAAGGGTCTGCCTCCCATTCATAGCTGCTCCATTTTCCATACATGCAAAAATATGGATGATTCCCACAAATCCTACCATACTTCCACTGATGCCCTCCATTTTTTAGACTTAAAAAAAATCAAAATACTATAGTATAAGACAGAGCATGTCCAGACTGTGATGTTGTAGCCAACTAGAGGTTTAGCCTCCTTAAAATGAATGGAGCTTGTCTGGTTTTAAACACCTCCATCATAGACTTAATGGAAATGACAGAGTGCAAGTCAGAAAGAAAATGCACTTGGAGCTCTATGTTTTTTACAGAGCACAGTGTGAGGTGTGTGGCTTAGAGGGCAGAGTCAAGCAGGCTGCTTCATGGGGCTCAGGATGGAGTGGCCTCAGGTGCAGTTATTTTTGCTGGATATGTAGCATCCTTACTAATTCCAGCATTCACTTCTGAAAAAAAGCAGGGTCATGTAACACCCTGCCCTGTGCATGCTACCAAGAGCATCAACTTTCTTTGGAAGCATGAGAACTCAGAGGACTGTTGCTGCTGCATGTCCAATGTATAATGACCTTTGCAACATTTCTTCCCATTTATCAGTCACTGTGTAACCCTCAACTCGCTCCAACCTGTAAAACACTCTTTGAAGGGACCTTATCACCATTTATGCCATAAGATAGTTAGGCAGATATGTGTTATATAGGCTTTCTCACAAACGGTAACAATCGAAGGCATAATATATTGGGTTTTCACACAAAAGGGTAGAAGTTAATAGCTCTGGGTATAGAACCAGAGTGCATTCACGGCTATAACAAAAATACTCATTTCAGTCAGGGAACTTTAATCAATGTTCTATTTTGATTTCTCCTTGTAGAGTTCACCTGCTGAATAATATTGTGACAGGGCTAATTCTGGTCATCACAGCTGTCAAATGTCTTCATCACTGCCTTCTGGTTTTCTCCTCTTCAACTGACCCCTGAAGACCGAGATCCTGCAGCTACAGGAACCATTGCAGTGTGTTAGCAGGATCATTACTATGTGCAAAGTGCTCAAAGGGTGAAAATATAGTAAACTTTTACACAGGATTATAAGGTTTATATCCAAAAACAAATCAAAATAAAACTGACTCTTTTTGGATAGGGAAAATCTTGGTCTTCAAGCAGGCATGTTGCCCCTGCTCAGTTACACTACTTATAATCAGGTAGAAGTCACTAATCTCAAATTAAGTCTCTTTATTTACAAGGTCAGTTAATCCCAAAGTAGATTATTAATCTGGCATGTAAAAGATATTTTTAAATGGCATTTTTCTTTCTTAGGTTGTTAGGTTAGGCAGTTTGTTTCCTGCACTTTCTTGCTTATTGCTACAATGAATACTATGACTAATCTGATATCTGAACTGTTTTATTCTTTGCTTGTTGGTTGTGATATGTATGAACATAGGTGTTGATACCACCTGGACAGACACAACTCTTGGAGTACAGGCAATATCTTTCATATCGCCTCTCCCCAAGAGTTTTGTCTGCCTATGCCTCTAGACCAACAAGGCTACAACAAATATACCTGAAACATGGAAGATATAGTAATTAGCCATTTTGAACTGAAAACTTTGCAACATAAGAAGAAAGAAGTAAAATCCAGCATCCTGCCTGCCATTGGCCCCCTTGAAGTAAACACCTGGCTCCAGCCTGTGTTTGAGCCTAATTTGCATACTTACAGAGCAGCCTTTTTTACAAAATAAAAGATATTGAGTATACCCAAGAGGTTTGTCTGCCTATGCCTCTAGACCAACACGGCTACAACAAATACCCTTGATACCACTTGCACACTGTTTTATACAATTCAAGACTTGGTGAAATACTTTCTGAAATGGGCTCAACATAGTACAATGCTATGAATTCCTGTAGTCAATAATATCCTTCCCAACAATTAAATTGCCTGATAAATGTTGTTCCTGGGATTTGATTTGTGAAAACACAAACTAATTTCTTGAATTGTATGAAGCCCAATGATTCGATTCATCTAGATACTTGCACTTTAAATCTCTTTGAATGTACATAAAGAATTCATCATAAATGATCTGCAGGTAAAGCATTAGTTGTTATGGGTGACAGTCCCCTCTGTGCAGTGAGTATAAGTGAGACACGTTGTACCAAGCCACTGTGCTGGACCTCTGCCCACTGGTGAATTTTACTCTGTGAATAATTTGAAACAAATGTGGCAATCTGTTTGCTCAAAATCCACAAACAAAGAGTTGATGTAATTTGTCTAAGAAATGGCTTAGTGTGAATTGCTAGCTCCCCTCTAATGATTCGGACAGTAAGAATCCTTTCCTTGAGCATCTTTTCTGCCACAGCTTCATGGATCAACTGCTAAACTTCACTAATGCTACAGAGATTAAAGCCAATATTTTACATTGTCAGTGTTTTATTTTGCAAGAACAAAAATCTTGAACAATAGCCAAGGCGGCTTCTGAGTTTTCCTCTCCCCCCCAATTAATCCTTTTTCCCCATACACACCATGGGTTTCCTAGGCTTGATTAGATTGTCCAGCTTTAGCTGCAGCAGTCTATTTAGTCTGAAAGCTACATCCTGATAAATACTGACTATGAGATCCTACTTTGTAACACAAAGCTTCTGATCTGCACATTGGAAATTGTAGGTGTTTCCTATTTTTAGCTCACCAAAAAGCTGCATCAGAAAATATCTGCAAAAAGTTAAACAGCTCAGAGTCACTTTCTTCATCTTGTTTTCATATTATAGCTGACAGAAAGAAGCAGGAGTTCCCAAAATGGGAATGTATGATTTTGACCCACTACCATTTAAGTGCCATCTCTTCCTCGGTGCTGTTAGTGTCCCCCAGGTGTTCATCTGTCACAGAACATTTCTGCTGATGCCTTTTGACTGTGTGAGCAAGTGGTCTTGGTTCTCTAAATGCTTCATCTTTTGACATATTTCCTTTGAGGTTCCAAGGTTCTTTTTTCCTGTTGCTTGAAACCTGTGCAACAGAAGAGTTCCTGACCACAAGATTTACTGAAAACACAAGAAATGGATTTAAAATGCAGAAAATGGTATACTGCTTCTGATGATTTGTCTGAATACAAGGCACGCTCAGCACAGTTGCAGACAGGAAGAGGAAACATTACATGTTCAAAGGGCAAGCTTTAACTTCTGCAACATTTCCAGTCACAGTCTAGAAAGAATGAACCCTCTCCTGTATCCAAACTGTTTTGTAGGTCTTCATGCCCCAGTCTTGAGCATCATATTCCAGGGGTCATTCCTCCAGTATCTGTTAAGTCTCTCCACTGTTCTTGGAGTCAAATAATTCAGTGTAGTTTGATGGACTATTTGTTTTTTAAAAATCTCACCTCCCTTGGTTATAAAATATGAATTATTTACAGGCTACAGGCTTTCCCAATAAGTATTTTTTTCTTCTGTGTGTGTAACCTTATAACTTCTTTATTTCTATGACTAGCAAGGAAGCAGTAACAGGTGAGTGATTCAGCTTGAACTGAATAATAGTTTTAATGGTCATCAAAGGTGCAGTTTCACGTCTAGTGCAGCCACTTGGCACTGGGGCAGGACCAGCTTCTGTTGCACTGACTACAACAGCATAATCACCCACCCCTATGGCAATGGCTGCTATTTAGCCCCCTGCCCAAAAAGGGTAGTGCCTGGGGCTATTGTCCCCACCTTTAAATGAAATAAACAATGAAGATGTTAGCTGTGGGCCAGTCCCTGTGTGTTGTGACTAACACAAGCTGTTCATGCTCTCTTCTGTTCTTCTCCAGTATTAATACTAACTGGTTAAAGGGGAGGACTGAATACATTCTAATTGTACTCATCTGCCAAGGCCAGCTATGAGTTGAGCCATGTCATCTTATGAGATTGGCTCCAGCTGTCATTTTCCTCTTTCCTCTCCTGCTATGTGACTCACTTTGTTGAAGTGGTGTTACATGAGCAGTGTCACTAATTAACACATTGTGATCCAAACGCTCAGCTCAAGATCTGCTACTTACCCAAATCCCAGCGTAACCAGCACTTATAACAAGCTGTACTCATTCACATCATTAATATCTTCTCCTTTGCCTAGCTCAAACTGCATTTATTAAGGTATTTAAAATTCCAAATTTAACAAAACATTTAAAAAACAATGAGCAACGCCTATACCATGACAAAGGGTTCTTCAGCTTTAACTCTTAAAACTCTAAACTAAAACACTGTTGGAGAAACCAAGAGAGGTGTATAGGTCCTGGTAATAAGACCACATTCCAAATTAGCAAGGATTGTGGTGCATACCTGGATAATCAGGTGTAGCCAGGAAGTGAGAAATCCTCCTGCTACAGGAAATGATGCTATGTAGTGCTGTCTCAGCATACTTCAGCTTGCTTTTTTTTTCTATAGAAGCAAAATTCTTCCTTTCCAGATGCTCATTTGCACTGGGTACACAGCAACCAAATCAGTCAAATTCTAATGAAACATTACAGTAGCAGAATTTTTCCAGCCACCTCGACTGTAGGTTCTTGAAACTGGGACACAGGTGATGAGTTTTAACAGCAACGTCTTTTCTTTCATGAGTTTATCAGGCTTGTAATGTAAACAAAAGATGTCAATGCATTTAAAATAAATAAAACTGCCTCCAATTAATCAGGTTTTATTTGTTTGGTAGTTGTACTGTTGCAGTAATTATAATAATTTTCTAGTTGTTCACAGGGTCTCACAAGAAAAACAAGATTGATGTGACCTATATTTCCAATTCATTTGGAGCAGACAGTTTTTTGTTCTTTGTCTGTACAGTACTTAACACAATAGGACCATGGTAATACAAATAACTGAGCAAACAAAAAAAAATAGTTTTTTAAAAATTAAACAAGCTTTGAAGCCTGTTGTGTATCATCAAAAATACAGAAGGAAATGAAACAAATTTATTTTCCTTAAAATACTGTGCAATCTCCTGAGTGTCTGCAGTTCGCGCAGTTTAGTTTTCAGCAGGTGCGTCTACATGTTCACTTTAATGCTCGGTAGCCTATTCTACTGTGCATTAAAGTGTCATGTCAAAAACCGTGCTAATATGCTAATGCACAGTAAAATAGGGTACTGCACATTGTCACTAAAAAACATGCACTTTCGCTACTGTGCATTAGGACAGTCTAATGCACATTTATTTAGTACCTCACATTAGAGGTAAATGTAATGTGCAGTAGCAAAAGTGCATTAATGAACATGTAGATGCACCCAGCAAGGCTATTCATGCACTTAAATGTAAGCTTATGCATAACAGTGCCTGCAGAATTGAGGCATAACATTTTAATAGATTGTAGCACATTTTATCTGATCTGTAGGGTCCTCATGGATTTGTACAAGCAACAGATTAGTTGTTATAGACTATTTCAAGATCAAATATACAGCAGTTCCCTATGTTGTAGCCATTAGTTAACTATTTTGTGCCCAGCGGGGAGCACTTGACCTTTCTTAAGTCAGTGGTGTTCCTACTTGAAGTTAGTTTCCTTTCTAAGATGTTTTCTTTAGTCACATTTGCGTCCAATTCTCCGCTATGTTACACCAGTAATAATTTTAGTGGCTTTTTAAGATCTGAGCATGAGTAAGAAGAATCTAGTTAGTGTTTGCTGGCCCATTTATGTCATTTAAGGGATGTTTTCTTGTAAGAGAAGGCAAGTTTTATCCTTACAAGAGATTTTTAGAAAGTTATAATTGCAGGTATGACAGAAACTAGTGGAAGTTACCTCCTGAAGTAAGTGAGAAATACTGAACGTTAATATCTATATTAGAATTGACATGAACATAGTACCCCTTCACATCTAGGAGTCATGATGAGTAGGTTAGATGCTTCACTGGATCAGTGACAAATAATATTGACCTTTCATTTGCATCATACAAGGATGGGTCCCCTTGGAGCCAATGCTTTCAGCAGTATCACTGAAACATCACCCCCTATTGAACAACATCTAATATCAGAACAGGCCAGATTTAAACCAGACAAGTCCTACACTTGTCAAATGCTAAACATCACCCAGCATATAAAAGATGGATTCAAGAAAGGGATGATAACAGGTGCTGTGTTTCTAGACCTATAAGCAGCATACAACACAGTCAACCACCAAAACCTGTTTGCCAAAGTCTATGATATGATGCACGATTAGTGCCTAGTGCAAATCATCTCATCTCTTAGAGAACAGACATTTTTAAGTAGAACTGTGCAAGAAATGGAGCCCCTGGAGATGGCAACAAAACGGCCTCCCACAGAGCTGCATGCTAATGCCTATCTTTTTTAACATATATGCTAATGACCAACCCATACAGAGACTATGAGAAGCTTCATATATGCTGATGATCCATGCATCACATCATAAGGGAAAGACTTCACCACTGTTGAGAACAGACTAACGTGTCACTGAGCAACCTCTCAGATTACCAGAGTAAGAACCAGCTTTGTGCCAACCCAAGCAAGGTGCAGGTCACAGCTTTTCACCTATGCCATAGACTAGCCAAGCAGAAATTAAACATCACCTGGCATGGAATCCCACTGATATAAGTACCCAAACCCTGTCTACTTGGGGTTTATATTGGACTGAACACTTACCTTCAAGGCATATGTGGAGAAGAAAAAAAGGGAAAGTCAGTGCCTGCAACTGCATACTTTGAAAGTCGGTCATCTCAAAGTGGGGAGTGAACCCAGCTACATTACGAACCACTGCTATTGCCTTGTGTTACTCCACTGCAGAGTATGCATGCCCAGTATGGGAACAATCAGTTTATGCCAAGAAACTATACCCAGTTGTAAACAACAGCTGTGGTGAAATAACAGGATGTCTAAAGCCAACATTACAGGATAGCCTGTACTTACTGGCTGGCTGGCTGGCATTGCACCACCTGATACCAGAAGAAAGGTAGTGAGCCAAAAAAAAAAGATCACAGCAGATGGAAGACCTCAGGCATCCATTCTACAGTTACACAGACATAACTAAACGACTTAAAGTGCAAAAGTTGTGCGAGCAGTGTTGCACCACTGGATGAAACGGCTTACAGGGCATGGCTGACGTTATGGAAGGAAAAATTAGGAAGGAAAGATTACATGCAATCAGATGCTCTGAAATGGACCTGGAACCCCAGGACCTTCCCAGAGGAGCTAATCTAGACTGGCCAACATGGTGATGCCTGAATTGCCTGTGCACACAAACTGGAAGATCAAAAGCAAACATGATCAAATGGGACTATGCTAATGACATGAATATATGCAAGTGTAGTAAAGTGCAGACTATGGAGCAACTGCTCATTTGCCAGCTCCTTGGTGAGACCTACAGAAAGGAGGACTTTGCTGCAGCAAAAGAAAGAGCCATCGTTTGTGCACAATCCTGGAAAAACATATAGTTTATGACAAGGACGCAAGAAGAAGACGACAACTGAAACATGGCTTCTTCTGCCAATTTAGCATAGGTGCTGATGTCATCTTTTCTCATCTTAAGCTATCCCTATGCCTAGATTATTCAACCCTTGCCCAATAAAGATAATGGAATTGCATGTGTGTGTGTCTAGCCAACCACTGATACCCCAGGAAAAGAGAGGCCACAAAGAAGCAAGCGATACCATGTCACCACCTCTCCCATGCTCTGAGAAGAAAGACTCAACAGCCAAGTCCTATGACTTACATAAACACAACTATAATCGCTAATTTTCAAGTAAAATATATTGCAGGCAGTCTTCTGGTCTTCTCACTGTTTTCCTAAGTCTGTTACAGTCATGGTGCATATGGCTCTTGCCACACGATAAGCATATTTTGTCTTCTTTTTCCATGTGTTCTGAATAGGTTTATCTTTTACTATTAGATCTTTTATTAACAGAGATGATCAGAGAAGAAAGCTCAAAGAGACAGAAATGAAAGGCAATAAACAAAATAGGCTTGCGGCATAAAACAAAAATGTATCTTTCCAAAATGCAGAAAAGCTCTACCTTTAATCAGTATGATTGGAAGTAAAATAAGTTACCAGTGAAGACTAAATGTGTTTGAAGTAAGATGCTTCATAAACAAATTCAAAAGAAGCAGGGTTTTCTAGAAGTCTTTACCATCTCAGACCAAAATAGGACCAATCAACTATATCTTGAAGAATTTGTTAGACTTCTGTCGGTCATCTAAACCTTGGAATTGCTTGGAGACAATGTGGCACGTTGTTTGCAAATGGGAAATAAGAAAGTAATCATGTATATTGAAAACAACGGAGAACCTTTGAACTTGCTGCATTTATGACCTTTTACAAACTTCTTATGGGAATACAAATATCCTGTCATTTTGGTTTTGGCTTGATTGGAATTGAAATCCCATAGGGGGAAAAAAGGAAAAAATGCAATAAAACCTCTTGAATTGATGTTAAACCACTGACATTTTAAAAAGAACCAAGCTGGCAGTTGCCAGTCTATTGTTATGAGCTACACTGAAGCAGAAACTCCACAGTGAAGGTCAGTGTGCTGGAAGCAGAGATGTGAACATTTTAGCATTACCTTTTTCTTCTTTTGGTTTGTATCCAATATTTATTTTTGCCCCTCACCTATTTTCTAAAGATTATACTACATTCTGACTGGTTTCTGCAGACTGTCAGTGTTCATTTTCCTCAGGACAAGCATCAAGCACTAAAGTTTTGTATGAAGAATGTCTTTGCTACAGAGCTGCTAGGCTTGCAAGACCCTTTCTCCCATTGGCAGGGGGAGGATATAGGAACAGAGCTGCCCTGAGCATTAATTGGAGTCACTTACAAAACGAACCTTTCTAGCAATGGCAAAATAGACCCCTGCAGCCATGCAAAAAACTTCAGTCTCTAATGAGAAAAGGCTTGCACTAAAAAAAGCTCTGAAAAAAAGGAAGAACTCCAAGAAACAGGTCCTATACCTGCCAAAGGAAACTATTTTTGAGAGTGATAAGTATTGGTAGATCTTACAGATCTTACAATAATGGATACATGGACTCCTACCCCATTACTGAAGGGGAGAGGGAACCAAGGGTCAGCAGGCCAGCCCCAGCCTCCTGGACAGCTTAGTGATAATTACAAAGGCCCCATGGACAACATGTTTCTTGTCCCAGGTGCAGACAGGGATTGACAGGATATTTGTATTCCTGGGATGGAAATAGAGGGTCAGGTGACTCAGGGAAAGGCATATAAGCTCAAGGCCTGAAGCCTGACTATACGGAGTATGGAAGGCAGCGCTCCAGAGTGGAGCCAGGCTAAGCTACTCAGAAGAAGGACTCCAGGCTGCAGGTGAGCTGAGTGGAAACCCTGTACCACCAAGCATCAATGGATAAGTGCTTTACGCTGGTGTGGTAGTACAACCACAGTGTGCAATTAACCCCAAGAAGGGAGCCTTTTTGTTCTTGGGAGTAAACGGTCATGCTTTTCATTTGCATTTGAAGCAGCGGACCAGACATAGCTGTAAGAGGTAGACAAGAGGTCACAGGGTGCTGCAGGGGCACTCTACAGAGTGCCCCAGAGTCTGGGACCTGGTAGGCCATATGGGGAGCAGAAGCCCAACACCTTAGGAGTACTACTGTTTTTCTGGAGGACTGTGATACTGGACAACAAGGATTGAGGCACAAGCCCAGAGCCCTGCAAAGGTGAAACCAAGGG